GCTGCCATCTTGAGTGCCCCCTTAAAAATTATCTTTTAAGAATAATGAATATTTTCTTTATTTTTAAAATTGGGTAATCGGAACCAAAACTTCTAGGCTTTGGGTTTATCTATCATCACAGATTCCATAAAATAAGTCTTAGCAGCTCAGTTGCATCATTGTATTGTGGCAGTATATCAGGGACATGACCCAGGAGATTTAGGGAAAGAACAATGCTGTATTTTTAAAACTATGGGGGCATAGGTTTGTGGGTTTTTTTTTAATTAGGAGAAGTTGTGTATGCAAAAATGAATACTAGAAGCAGTTGAAAAGAGACAAAACAGATTAAAAATCTTTACCCAAATGTTTTATGTAGTCTTTCTGTGCTTTTTAATAATAATTGCCACATTCCAGCTAGAAAGCAACCTTCTTAAGTCATACAAGGCATTCTTCACTTTTATATATGTTTCACTGAAAGCTAAAAATTTTGGGTAAACCTCTAAAACTTAATCTAAATATCCTGAACCCAGTTTAGCAGAAGTTTCCTCTGGGAAGGATAAATGAATCAATTCATTCCCTGAAAAAAGGAAGACTTACCTCTAGTATCTACAGGACTATGATTCAGCAAATTAAATATTTGTCTTGTCTTTATGTTTCTAAGAAATTGTCATCTTTAAATGTAATTGTAAAATCCAAATAAGTGTCAATCAACAAGTTGAAAATAGTGTGCCATGCTTGTCTGGTAACTATTTTTCAACTCAAATGATTGAAATCTTTGACCACATGAAAATGTGCTCTAGCCTTTGCCAGTAGATTTGATTATATTTTGGGTAGTGAGATCCTTTGAGACTAGACGATGACTAAAACCTTAGTAAAAAAAGAAAACACTTTCAGGAAAGTGTTGTGAGCCAAACTAATTTGCAAAAATCTTGCTAAAATGTGTGTAAAGGAAGAAGATTCAGTGACATGGATAAGTTAGTTATTCCTATAGTATCAGGTCACTGCTCACATACACTTTCCATTTCCAAAAGCTGTTGCTATGGTAACATTTGGAACTGGAACTCTCACTGATGCTGTGAGGATGATTATGTGGCTTATGTCAGAAAAATGAAAGAAAGCAGATTTTAGGCAGATTTTATATTTTTTGAAATTTGTGTTTCCCAAAACAACCATTTTAAATAATCATGTTCTCATTCTAATATAATACAATAATCCCAGGCATTCAAATTAGCAAAAATAGTGAAAGATTATTGCTTAGTGTGATAGATGCTAACCACTTTATTGATGATATACCTTTTCTAGCACTACAATAATTAGGGGAGAGTAGTGTTCACCATAAAACAAAGTGACATAGAGGAATTGAGTAAAAAGTTTTATTACATAAATAGGATTAACATATTTTTAGATTTGTTTATAATTTGTATTACATTTTAATATATATTAAATATATTCATTTGCGTATTTTTATTTAAATTTAAAAAAAATATCTTTATCTTCACACTTTGTGTAAATTGGGATTTGTCTGGTTTTGAGTACCATAGATGTTAGATATCTCTGTAAAGATAGTGTCATTAAGGGTTAGGGTTTGTAATCTGACAAATTTAGCTTCAAGCCCCACTTACGTCTTCTAATAGCTATCTGATCCTGGGCAAATTAGTTGCCCTCCAAGGGCTCCACTTTCCTCTGTGAAATGAGGGTGGTGATAACACTTCCTGTCTTATACGAGTTTGAGGATTAAAAGAGAGAATGCACATGAAACCTGTAGCTTGGATCTCCATTAAATGTTAGTGCTGTTGCTTGTTGTAGCTTCAACTGCTGTGATTATCACCGTTATTTATAAAATCGTTTGTCACTGTCTCTTGATTTTTTTTTTTTAAGAAACTTTAAAAAGTTTATCAATACTTGAGTAATGAGATGGGAAAGAAAGTCCAATTAAAATGTAAGATTGAGGCAGCAGCTAATGTGTGGCAGGAAATGAGTGTTTGCACCTCATTAATTATCAGCCTGAATGGTTAAAATAGGCTTAGGTTGTCGATGAATTTTATATAAAGTACTTGAGATTTTCAGTCATGGTGCAAAACCAGAATTGATAATTTCACTAAAATGCTAGTTGTTAATCTCACAAAATGCTAAGCTCTGCAAACATTTTTCTTGCAACTCCATTTATCTCGTATGCATAGAAGAGGGGTTCTAGGGTAAGCTTGTCATATACAAAGAAGAGGGGTCCTGGGGTAAGCATGGGTGAGGAGTTTCACTCACAGACTAAGAAGTTGCTGTGAACGGCACAACAGAGAAAGCTTGACGTGTAAAAGAGTTATTAGCCCAGGTGAAAAGGCAGGACACCTGTCTGTCACAACAGATCATTCTTTATGGACTTGGCTTGGTATAGATTGGTATTCTGCTCAGCATGGATTATGTTTTCCTTCCGATTAAATGTATTTTCTCATGACATTTGTCACAAGTTCCTGGTAGCATGTCTAATACTAGTTACCCTGAGAGTCTCTACTGATGACTTTTTGAAAGTTCAGGGATCCAGGTCCAGCATCCTTGTTGCCCTGGACCCACTTTGTGTGCATCCTAAATCAATGGAGTACTTAGGAAAGACCTCTATTTAAGATGAAAGGCCTTGGCTGGTATTTGCTTTGCCAGTACTTCAGGGTTTTAGTGTTTCTCTTTCTTATATACTTTTCAGTTCTGGTTGTGAAGGATTTCTGTGAGAGGGGACATTTCCAGTTCCTGTCCTTTCTTTTCCTGAAAAGGAATGTTTTAAGAGCACTAAAGTGATCTCAGCAGCTGGACAAGCCAGTCTGAGAGACAGATTTAAACCAAAGATGAATGAAGACAAAAAGTGGCTTAGTGGCAAGTGCTTATATAGACTTTGTTATAGCAGCAAAAACAAGGAAGGACTCCAGACTGTTCCTTAGCTATGCACTCCCTAAGGGGTTACCTTGAAAATCTCCCAGCCCATTCAGAGAGTATTCAGAAATCATCTTTCTACTGGTCACTTGCTATGTTTAACTGTTTTAGTGGTATGGCTATAAACCAAGACAATAATAATCTGACTGCCTGTACCTTCCATCAGCCAGACAACTAATTCTTTGGGAAGTTCTGTACTGAGATGATTCCTTTTGACCACATTGCTCACATGATGAGGAGGGACCACTGAGACTTCAAGGTTAATTCTGTTTGATGCTTTCCCAAGTCTGAGCAGACCCCTTTCAGTGTGCCAAGGAGCAGAATGATTTTCTTCTCAGGGAATTGAGAATGAACATTATGTACAAGGAAATCCTTTCTGAGAAGGAGAACCACTAAGGTTTTGACCTAGAAGGTCACCACAGGGCCACTGCGATCCCCTGTGGTTTCTGACACACTGCCCACTGTCCTGCTGGGGAACCAGCTCCCTCCGCCTGGCACAGGATGCAACCTGTGCTGCTCTGCTGCTTTTCTAATGACTTTGTTTTAAGGAAGATGGTCTAATAAGTGCTTGATATAATTCAGAGCTAAAATGCTCTTGCTTCCAACACTGACTTCCTCTATTTTAAGATAAAATCTTTCTCTGTATAATCCTAGAAGAGTCAAGGAATGGGGACATAAATCACAGCCAACAATAACTTCTCATCCAAAGGAAGGTCTATTAAAATGTCCCTGACAGAGAAAGACAAGTACCAAATGATTTGACTCATATGTGGAGTATAAGAACAAAGAAAAACTGAAGGAACAAAACAGCAGCAGAATCACAGAACCCAAGAATGGACTAACAGTTACCAAAGGGAAAGGGACTGGGGAGGATGGGTGGGAAGGGAGGGATAAGGGCAGGGAAAAAGAAAGGGGGCATTAGTATTCACATGTATAGTGTTGTGGGGGGGCACGGGGAGGGCTCTGCAACACAGAGAAGACAGGTGCTGATTATACAGCATCTTGTTATGCTGATGGACAGTGACTGTAGTGGGGTGGGGGGTGGGGGTACTTGGTGAGGGGGGAAGCCTAGTAAACATAGTGTTCTTCATATAATTGTAGATTAATGATAGCAAAAATAAAAACAAACAAACAAATAAATAAAATGTCCCTGACATACACCTAGCTATCTTAAAATAATAAATTTCCCTACACATAACAACCAGTAGTCAACAAAAGGGCCTGGTGAGTGTCCTGGCCCAGGTAAGGGAATTCTCAGTGAGCACAGAAGGAGCATTTGTTTCTTCATATGAATGTCTGAGAAGTCACTTTAAGCCCTAATAACAGCAAAGTGTCTTAAGAGTCTAGGAAAGACTTATGAACTGGAGATACCGTAGAATTGCCAGAGGGTCTTTGCAAATGCCTCAGACTCAGTTTTGTGCATTCCGGGTAGGATGTTATCCATGAGCCAAATAATCTTAACATTAAACATTTAATGCTCCAATGCCATCAGTTTTTCTAATTTAAAAAAATCTAAAGGCATAAATAAAAGGGATTAATTTTGCTATAGAACTGTGTGTGATTCATTGTAATAGTCATCTCACTGCACCTGGGTTTCTGACCAGTAACTTCTGAGTCCTAAACTTGAATCTGAACTGAATTTATTTACATTTTTTCTGGGAGTGAATGTCCCTTCAGCAGAATGGATAATGGTGTCATTGTAGCAGTTTCTGAAATAGTGGGGAAAAAAACAGGACACATCACATCTGTGAGATATTATCATAAGTATCAGTGAGGTCAGTAGCCTTTAAACAGGATTATTAGGATGACAGTATAAAAATTAGAAAAAGTTTTATGGTGAGTGGAAAACAGCAAAGAGGTTTACATGCTATAATTGCAACTGTATAGAAAGTACCCATGCATGTGGGCAAAAGTTGGACAATAATGTGAAAATAGTTGCATTGGGGTAGGATGATTGCATGATTGTATGTGGTGCTTTTCTTGATATATTTTTAAAGAAATTCCTTTGATGTCCTTATGTTAAATTTCTAAATAATGATGATAAAAAATCCAGGACTAACAGATTTCTCAAATAACTGAAAAAGCCTGGGGATTTTTTCCCATAGTTATTCCTCATAAAATTGGCCGAGTCATAGAAGGAAGTCCAGCTGATCACTGTGGAAAACTGAAAGTGGGAGATCATATCTCTGCGGTGAATGGACAGTCCATCATTGAGCTGTCCCATGACAGCATTGTCCAGCTGATCAAAGATGCCGGGGTCACTGTCACGCTAACAGTCATTGCCGAAGAAGGTAAGGACCCAGGAGACCTGCCCTCCCCAAGGCGCTCTGCGGGGCACCACCAGCTTCGCTGCGGTCGTAGCAGTGGTGGAACTGTGTATGTACTTTCTTTTTGCCTTTTCCACTTAATGAATTTAAAAGATAATTTATTACAAAGTTGTCAGGAGCTCAAGAAAAATAATCCAATTAGGGAGTGGTATTTATGTGCTGGAGAAGCAAACACCCAGACGTGAAAGAGTTGGTAAGCTTTTCAGATACTACTTTCTTAATGTCTTAAGTCTCTGTCTGCTTAAGTGAGAGAAAATCCTCTGAACAGAAAGTCACTGTTGCCATCAAGCTTGTCAGGTCAGGCCCACGCCCGAGTGCCTTTCCCTGGGGGCAGGGCTCTGTCCCGGGGGCAGGCAGACAGTGGGAATGACCCCTAAATAGGGCATCGCCTTGCTTTAAAGCCGCCTTTGAGCATTAGGAATTCCTAATTAGGAACCATTTTGAATGACACCAGTTCATTTCTTTGTTTACGAATTAGAAGATAACCATTACACAATGCTTATCTCATTTTTCCTGATTTTGCAAAACTAACAGGAGAAGCCAAAAACAATTATGAAGGGGCCAGTCTGTCATATTAAAATTTCTTGTACTATAATGTGTATTCATGTCCCATTTTCCCCCAAGATCCTCTAATTTAGTCAGTTTTCAAGTCTTATCATTCTTGATTCTTCCTTTTGTTTTTTCTTCCTGCTGCACCACTCTCATACATTAATAGCTAAGGTATTACATAAATCTCCCTTCTATCCAAGATCCTGTCGTGGGTGTTTCTGCGTGGACATGAGTTCACCCGGCTGCTCTCTGAGGCCCTTCTAGTTCTAGAACCTTGTGACATCCTGACTTCAGCTGTTTTCCGTTTTCGGGTCTGTTCCCACACTGCTCAGACTCTGCTGAGTCGTCTAAAATCCGCATTCAACGCTCCTCCAGTGCCTCCCATTCTCTAAACAGAAAGTGTTTTATAATTTTGCTCCCAGTCTACCTTTTAAATTTGCCTCCCAGTGTTCTTTCCAAGCCCTCTCTTGACTAGACCTCATTGCCTCTGTGTACATGGGCTTCCTCCCCCTAAACTCCCTTGTACTCTTTATCTCTATAAATCATTAAGCATTATTCTTATATATAACTCTCTCCCTATTAAAGTCATCTGCTCTTTGAGGACAAAGACAATATTATCAATAGGTCATGATACTTAGTAGGCACTCAGTAAATATTTTTTTGAATGAAAGAATAAGTGAAGGAATGAAGAAATGGAGTAAAAATCCAGGTTTTCAGCTCTGTGGAAACACCTAGCAGAGGTAATATAAACCCAATAGAAAAAGTAAGGCTCTTAGCTAATTATATGACCTTAAACCAGCCCCTTAAAATTTCTGTCCTTCAGTTTTTTATCTCTAGAATGGGAATAAATACGTATTCCAGGATCATTGTGAAGATTAAAGGTGAAATGTACATAATTTGCGTAAATGCCCTGAGATGCTCATCTGCTGATGGCTGCTGCGGTCTCACCGCCTCCTCTCATGGCCAGCTTCCTCGTTTGCATCTCTAATTCCCACCTCCTAAGAAAACAATATTTAGTAAGCACTTAATGTATGGCAGGTATTGTCCTAAATACATCAATTAACTCATTTAATACACAAGTCCTAGGTAGGTGCTCTTATTTTCCCGTTCTGTAGATAAAGAAACTGAGAGCATCAACACAGAGCAGTTTGATAACTTGCCCACAGTCATCAAAGCTGTGGCAGAACCAGTATCTGAACCAGGCCGCCTGGCTCCGGAATCTACGCTCTCAACTACTCTGTGCCTTCGCTAGCCACAGTATCAGAGATAACCCTCCCCTGCCAGCCGCGTCTCCTCTGTCCCTCACCCTGCTTTTGTTTTCTTCATTGCACTTACCTCTGCCTGAGATTATTTAACTATTTGTTTGTTTATTGTCATGTCCTCTTGTAGAACATGAAGTCATAAGATTCATGAGTTAGAGATTTTGTCATGCTCAGTCATGTCAATCTCAATGGCCTAAAACGATATTATGCACATAACAAGTACTCAGTAAAAAAATAGTTTTTGAAGGATTATTGTTACTTAATGTGATTTTGATCAGATTTCTTTATCTCGGCCTTTTTACCATGATCTCTATGACCTGCTTTTTATCCATAAATTTGTGCTGTGACCCACAAAAAAAATCCAGGCTTCAGTACCACAGGAAATAACACTGTAGGGTTGTTCTGAGATGTATGTAGTGTACTTATACTACCATGTTTGGCATGCAGTAGTGATGGAGCTGCTAGAAGTAGTGGAACCAGCAGTAGTATAGATCAGTATTTCTTAAACAATCTATAGAAAAGGATCAGCGGCCTTAGGACCAGTGGCCTTTTTCCAATCCATCACAGACCACATTTTTGTGAAATACAATAAGAATTAAATGAAAAATAACAGACATTGTTTTAAAATTTGTGGAATTGTTTTAAAATTTCTAGATGCTTGCTCCCAATATGTTTATGCATCTTATTGCTGACTGACCCAAATACCATGCATTGAATAGCCTTGAGATACTAGTACAAAGATCACTTCTTTCTCTTAGTGAATTTTTCCCCCAAATTACCTTTATTGCTGATGGTATATTCTCTGAGAGGTTGTCCAAAACTGCTCAGTCATTTTTCTTGAAGTTAAAGTTCACTTTGACATACTGCCCAGATACTGCAGGACATACTCTTATAATTTCCTATATAATGCTGGTCAGTGTTTAGGAAAGATGGAAGGGTAGAAGGACACTTCCTGGCAGTGACATACTTAAAAGTCTGTTTCATATAGAGGCAAAGCCTCTTAAAATACATTACATTTGACATGTAAAATCACATTTCAATGATTACACCTGATTTTATTATACTCTTAAGTTTTATAAAACTATGGAAACATTGAGAATATCATTATTTTTAGGAAAATAGAAAGTGTCCCTTCTGTCTATAAATAAAGTCCCATTTGGGGAGCTTGTAAGTCTTCCAAATTTTTCATTGTGTTCGGTATAAAATGTCAGCCACACTAACAAGTCAAGTGAACGTTCATTGCTCTGAAGGGGTATTCCGAACTCACCCTTAGAGCTGCATTACCTCCCATCTCATGCTGCTCCCCCACTTTCACTATCAGTAGGTTAGACAAAACCTCTTTTTCCCCTTTTATAGATGCTATTTAATATTTGTGCTTATTTTGCCAAGGCAATGGTTAACCAAGTTCCCAAGTGAAGTGTGGGATCTGGTATAACTCTCAAACATATCCGTGCCTTGGGCCTCTCTCTGCCTCGTGGTGTCCCCACTGCTGTGGGCCTCTACCATGGTGACCTGCTCTCAAGCATAGAACAGACATTGATTATGCCTGGTTGTTCTTGTTGTAAAGACCTTTAAATTGTATTATTTTCCAAAACTGGTTTCTAATTTTCTGTCAGGTCTTGTTCATTTCCTTTTTCAGAGTGAATACAAGTTGCCAGAGGGCAACCAAGGACTATGTTAGAAGGTGCTGATAGTGTTGACATAATTGTTTTGTTCTGTTTTCCATTTATCTTAAAAGAACGTAGAAAAATTGTAACTGATCAGTTTATTTATAATATCCTTTTCTGAAGTTATACACCCATTGCTCTAGCCAAACTAGTGAAGCCAAAAAATTCTCCAAACTGGATTCGTACAAAGGTGCATGTCTCTCCCGGTCATCTTGTTGATAGATGTATTTTTTCCCCATCAGTTCCCAGTCCCTTAATAATAGCCATGAATTTGCAATGACATGAGAATTCAACTCTATAATGGGTACTCAAGTTTAGAAGTGGGTAACTTGAAATTGACCTACCCAGTAAGCAAATGTAGAAGGGCTTCTGGGAATTTCCAGTGGATACAGGAGTATAAAGACAAATGAGGTGTGTTTCCTGCAATAAAGGAGTTCATGGTCTAGCAGGAGAGATAGGTATGCCCTCAGCTCTGAAACAATGTGGTAAATGCTATGAACACAGTGTGCATAAAGAGCCAGGTAAGATTTCACAGAGGTGACCTTTTGAATAAGAGATGAAGTGGAAAGGCAGAAGTGCCCAGGTGACAAATTTGGATATTGTCAGCAATAAAAAGTCAACTGTAGTTTTTAAGCAAGGCAGTGGCATATTTCATTTTATGTACAAAGACTGGAATCCGTGGAACACAATGAAGATGAGATTAGCGGCAAAGGGACCAGTGAAGAGGTCAATGTAAGTAACTTAAGCTAATCAAGAAAATAAATTCATGATAGTAACATAAAAGAACAACAAAGAAATTTCCAGGTCACCCCCAAAAAGGTTCATGCTCCACTCTCCCTTCCTGGAATGGCTAGGAAGAGGAAAGGCGGCTCTCTGGATAAGTTCTGCACTGGGGGGTCCCACGTCTCTACATCTGATACACATTGTTGAAATCCACGTAGACACACAAGCCCAGCAGCCACAGAGCATTACTAATCCTCGGGGGCTACCAGGGCTTGGCCGTGTACGGTCACTGTTACCCTCCTCCTGCCACTTCTTATGCTCTTGGCTGTGTTTCCAGAGTACTCTCTAGCTTTTAGTTGCAGGAAGTTCTTAAATAAAAATACTTTATCTGTGTTTTAGTCCTGAAAACTTTGCAGAGAAACAACTAATCCAAGCCCTAAAATAGTGATGTTATAGTAAAGCCTGAAGTTTCAGCCCCTTGATAGGATTGCTTCCTAAACATTTATATCCTTGTCTTTAACATCAGTCTTCAGCTCCATTAAATTCCAAGATTCAGTTTATAGCTTTTCCCACATGTTCTACCCTAAATATGGCCTCTACATTGATATTTTTGCTAAGTAAGGTAAATATTTCAGAATATACACCTTAAGAGAAATACAACCCCAAATAAGACTTTATCATTGCAATCATTATGATGATGATAATAATAATTATAACAAACATCTCTATAATGAATATAATATGCCAGGCACTGTTCTAAGCATACATATTAGCTTATTTAATCCCATGAGGTAGCTATGATTTCCTTTTTATAGATGAGATGATTTGAAGCACAGAGAATATAAGTAATTTGTTCAAGAATACACAGCTAGTAAATGATGGGGTCAGGCTTAAACCCTGTCAGTCTTGCTCCAGGGTTCATGGTCTGAATCAGTAAGTTATGCTCCCTCTCTCTGATATTTTAAATATCCTACCAATATACCAAATATACAAATAAATGTATATTTGGACAGGGAACACCAGAAAGTTTTAGCCTTAAAAAATGCATATCCAACAGCCATAAGCATCTCTTTTAAGTGTCCTCTCCATGACTTGCTGTCTAATTCTAGATACAGGCAGTTCCTATGCTTAGTTATGCAATCTGCCTTCCAGGAACTACAGGAGTCTGGTGCTGGTGGGAATGATACAGAAATGTTGCTTTTTTCACCTATATTTATGCTCTTAGAAAATAGAAGCAATACAATCTTTCTAAACATTTGTCAACACTGGGGATGGTTTTATGTTTATCTTTGATATTCAGTGGCAGGCGGAACAGTTGCTTCGATTTAAAAGACATAGGTTCAAAGATGCGTGTGTGGTTTGCTGACCGGCCTCTGTATTCCAGCTTCCTGGAGACCTGTCTCTGTCACCTAGAGTGGCTGACCGACCACGGGGAATGCGCTCTGGAAATCCATAGAGGAGGCTCCAAGGGCGGTCTTGGCGTTCTGTCCTCCAGCTAAGGCTGCATGTTCGTTTATGAGTTTCATGTTGTGTGAGGGCCAAAGAAAGGTGAAAGGGAAGTCATGTATGGTTCTCTTCAAACATAAATATGAATCAAAAACCAGAGAGAGAGAAGTCAGTGTTCCAGGTGCAGCCGATGACAACAGTGCTGTTCATGCTGAAGTCAGTGAAGCTGTAACCGTTTGTTACTGTCGCACCTTCACAGGTCCACTTGGCCTTCACCTTTTTTTTAAGTACCCATTCTTAATTCTGCTGTTTTCTCATTTGAACAGAGCATCACGGTCCACCATCAGGAACAAACTCAGCCAGGCCGAGCCCAGCCCTGCAGCACAGGCCCATGGGACAGTCACAGGCCAGCCACATGCCTGGGCACAGGTGAGGCTGCTCTCAGACTTTGTTTTCTTCTTCTCTTCACCCCCTCCCGCCCCCACTCCTTGTCCCACACAGTATCAGAAGTCGGCTGGGAGGTCAAAATGGGAACTCTTGGGTTTTCCGCCCTCAGATGCCTTCCCCATCCCCTCCACCCCCTCATTTCCTTCATCCCTCCTCCCAGCCCCATCCAGGGACAGCATAATTATCCAGTCATGCCTGACAAGCGGGATCAGAAAGTGGCAGCAGCGTCTGGCTCTGCTGCTCTTGGCCCTCCTCCTCCCACTAGGGAGCCCCGGCCCCGCGTGGATTGCTGTCTTCCCAGACGCCCTTAGTAGAGTAGAGTAGTATTTGTACAATATGTCTTTCCTCCTAAATAAAAATACTTTATCTGTTTTTTAGTCCTGAAAAATTTGAAGAGAAACAACTAATCCAAGCCCTAAAATAGTGATGCTATAGTAAAGCCTGAAGTTTCAGCCCCTTGATAGGATTGCTTCCTAAACATTTATATCCTTGTCTTTAACATCAGTCTTCAGCTCCATTAAATTCCAAGATTCAGTTTATAGCTTTTCCCACATGTTCTACCCTAAAAATGGCCTCTACATTGAATATTTTTGCTAAGTAAGGTAAATATTTCAGAATATACACTTTAAGAGAAATACAACCCCAAATAAGACTTTATCATTGTAATCATTATGATGATGATAACAATAATTATAACAGAAACATTTCTATAATGAATATAATATGCCAGGCACTGTTCTAAGCATATATATTAGCTTATTTAATCTAGCTGTGTGTTCTTGAACAAATTACTTATATTCTCTCTGCTTCAAATCATCTCACCTATGAAAAGGAAATCATTGTTGAAAATATTAACCATGAGACAAAAGCTAGATTTCCAGAAATTCAGCATCTTCCTAGGCAAAGGAGCTGTTCTCTCTGAGACAAGGTCAGCTTATCTGCCCTCTGGTTCAGTTACTTGAGCGCTTTTCTTGACGTAAACTGCACGGAGACACCCTTAAAACATGAGGGTGTTGACGGGCGTTAATGCTGGAGGCAACAAGATTTTTGTCTGGCATCACTGTGGTTCTAGATACAGTCTGTCTTTATAGCGGGTTGTCAGAGGGAGAATGGCAAGGGTCAGCTTTTTTTAGATAAAGAAATTAATCTACCTTTACTTGTAGAATGTGTTTCATTTTCTTTGTTCAGAAAATGGCCTGACTTCTCTCTTGTAGAAGTGCCCTGGAAGGTGAAATCGGAAAGGATGTCTCCACTTCTTACAGACATTCATGGTCTGACCCCAAGCACCTGGCCCAGCCGGAGCCTGCAGGGGTCTCCGTGGTGGGCGGCCGGCACAGTCAGGTAAACATGTCCCCCAGATGCAGACTGCTCTTTTCAGTTGTTGAATCACTGACACTAATAAATTTTTATTGCAAATCAGTTCAGATAAATTTGTTCTCAAAGTTAGTAATGCTTGAGGACCTCCTGTGTGTCTGGCATTCCGTTAGCTTCCGTGAGAGAATGTAAATGAGTCAAAAACAAGTGTACTCTGTAGTTGGAGAGATCTGAACCCTTAGTTGCTTGTTTGACATAGCACTGTTTGAGTTCATCAAAGCAGAGGTTAGGCTTTTTGGTTTTTTGTTTTTTGTTTTCAGGAAAATTAATCAAAATCTACCTAAAGGATGAACTCTCCAAAATTCTGTTCTCTGATTGTCCTGTGCACATTGACCAACTAGTAGAGAAAACATGTGATCTTCAGTTTAGGTTGTATTTATAAAAATTAAGTAGCCCCTCAGCCAAATGTACATTCCTTCCCTAAGCTATAGGACTGCGTCCTGAGAGTTCCAGTCACCTCCCCCCGCCCTAAAGGCTGCCCTCTGTCATGCCGAGGGCTGCAGCCAAGCTGGTTCTGCTCATGCTTCCTCTCACTTAGGGCCTTGGCTGCTACCCCGTGGAGCTGGAGAGAGGCCCGCGGGGCTTCGGGTTCAGCCTCCGAGGGGGAAAGGAGTACAACATGGGGCTGTTCATCCTGCGCCTGGCCGAGGACGGCGCAGCCATCAGAGATGGCAGGATTCACGTGAGTTGGCTTCTTTCTGCAACCTTCGGTTCTGGCTCCAGACGGGAAACTTATGAAAACTGTTGACTGAAGGGAATGCAGAAACCTCCTGAATCTAAGAGGCAGGATTTTCCATCCGTAAAACCTGGAAGGCAGACACTTGTCATTCGCCGCATAAACCTCTGCACTTGTTTCCCGCCAGCGCGCGGCGCTCCGCCCACTGGGACTGGTCAGTAAGAAAAATCATGTTTACTTACGGAGTCAACATTTGAGGCCAGTGGATTAGTAAATAAAATATACCTTCATCCTATGAAAAGTCTTGTAAAAGCCAGGATAAAACAGAATCTTCAACTTCTTCCAAGAAACAATAGGGCTTTTTTTTTTTTACCCTTTTAGCTATCTCTAGAGGTAGCCAAAAATTGAAAAGCATGACTTTTCCAACCTTTATTGTTATTTGAAGGACTGGAATCTACATCAGTACCCCCAAGGTATTTATTCTCTGCTCGGAAACCCCATAGCTTTGTACCTGACCTTGCAGACCAGATTGTTCATGGATCTGCTGGATGAGAGATTTTTCCTCCTTTGAATGTTACTTAAAATGGAATCATATAGAAGACAAGTGCTGGCCTCAAACTGCAAAAAAATAATTAATTCACTAGTATTCAGTTAGGTTACACACTAAAAATTTTCAATTCTAGAAAGCCTTCCTCCACTACTTGAGAAATTGGATTTCCACCCTCGACCATGAATAGGCATTAGGTAAAGAGAATTTTTTTTTACTTTTAACTAAGTAAACAAACTAGAAAAGCAGATGATTAGAAAGCATATTCTAATAATGATTAGAAAAGGCTCCTGGGTGATTGCAGTTTTAAATTTTGCACATCACTCCCCACTCCCATTACTCATTTCATAAATAGGTATTGAGTATTTGCTCACCCAAAGCTTCATACCTGGTACTGAATGAGTTGGGAGAAGAGGTGACCCCAGAACAAATGAGATGCCATCCTTCCTCTAAATGGCCAGACCTGTGTACAAGTTCAGAGGAGGTGAGGATGAATACAGAAGATTTCACAGAGTAAGTGGTATTGGAAAGTGGGTAGGATTTCAATAGAGAGAGACTGAGAAAAGAAAATATTCCAAGCTGAAGAAATGAGCACGAGGATAAAACTAAGTATACGTCATGTATAGGAAACTGCAAGTGGTTGTTTATCTAGTTTATTTAGAAAATACACAGGAGAGGACATAAAAGTAGGTAGTCACCAATATGGAGGGTCCAAGAGAGTAGGAAGCCACTGAAGGCTTTAGAGCCAGAAGTTCCCCCTCAGAGCAATACACTGAGAAATATGTTCTTGATGTGTCAGATGGATAAGAATAGTGGGAGCTATAGTTCAGGCATCCAGTGGTAGTGGTAGAGTAGAAGACATGAGATGCCTGTGAGATGATCAGCTGTTAATGAAGAAAGGACCAATCCAGATGACTGGTAAGTCTCTATATGAGGGAGGGATGAAGGAAAAGAAAGAAGAAGCAATGGCTACAAGCTTTGCCTCTGTACTATGAGAAACACCTGGCAGCCAAGAGGAGAAAGGACTTGGCAGACTGATTGCACACTGAGCATTGGCCACGTTGAGGTGACGCACCAGCTAACTGAGCAGGTATAAACGTTTAGCAGGCAATTAGTAGTTGTAAAGTCCCAGATTGTGAAATTTCAGAGGTGATGATTGACACCTTTGTCCTGGATGAAATCACTAAAGGAGATTTAGAGAGTAGTGGGCCAAGGGTCAAACTCTGGGTAAGGCCCTTAATTAGTGGACCAGAGACAGTAAAGATGGGGAGGGTGAGAATGCAGAGCAGCAGAACCAGAGTGGAGGGTGTTTATGATGAGGAGAGAGGCTAATGGCCAGATGGCCCTGAGTATAGCTAAAGCTGATCAAAAGTTGCTGAATCTAGCCTCAGTTCACTTTCTTGTAGAGGCCATTTAATAGAGTAGGAAGAACATGGATCTGGAAATCAGAAAGGACAAGATAGAACTCTGTGTACAGTTGGGTAAATCCTCTGAACCTCAGGTTCGTCATCTGCAAAGTGCAGATCCATACATAAAATGCATGGCCCGAGAGCAGCATGAAGCCCTGTGTATGGGGATGGCAGACTCCCTGCTGGTTGTCTTGGTCCTTTTTTTTTTTTACCTCTTTTTTAAACAAATCTGTTAGCTTTATTTTTTTAATCTTCCATTGTACACAGAGTCACAAAAACTCAGTTAAATAAAAAATTAGGATATAATTATAAAATAAATGTTAGTTCCAAATATAATCTTCAGTGTACTAATCTTACCAAACACATAAAAGGCAAACAGGCCTTAAGGCCTACAAAGCATGTCATTCTTTACAAATGAACAGAAACTGTAGAATTCTGAAACTAAATCAAATTTAATTTTTGAAAAAAAAAAAACCTTTGCAATTTGAAAACAAAGTGAGAAAGGTATTACTACTATGCCCAGGTTTGTTCTAACTCTAATAAATCAGCTTTTCAGAGAATTCTTTTTCTGGCTACTAAACTATCAAAACCTTGACTTGGTCAGGATGCTGGGAGCTCTGTCAGCAGTGGCAGAGCACACTGGCGGCTGCTGCCCGGGGAGGAGAGCTGATCCCGCCAGTGCTCGCCCCGAGGGGCCGCCTGGCCTCCATGCCTGCCTTACCCCCTGCCTCTCTCTTCTCCCTTAGGTTGGCACCTGTACTCTCTGTCCTGGGCCTATTATACTTTAGCACTATTATCTCTAGAAAAATGCCTTGAATATTCATAGTAAATGCTCCATAGACTCGTGTGAAAGAGTAGAATGGATGGATAATACTTCCATGGATGGATAATGATAGGATTATTTTTTAACATATTTTAGCTTAGATTCCCAAAACTTAATGGTGGGGTAGACAGGACTTGGGATACACATGAAGCAGTCAGCAAACAGTGCAACAGTTTGCTGATCCAGTAAAACAAGAAAATGTTACTTGATGTACAAGGAAAGGTGGTGAGTCATTGGGAGGGTTTTTAAGTTTAGTGAGTCTTAAGCTGGTACTTAAATCTGGTTAAGCTTTAGAGAGAAAAGGTGTTCTGGGCTAAGGAATGACGAATCAGCTGAATGGGGACAGCTCACATTGGGGAAGTGTCAGACACAGGACAGAATCAGATTTAGGAAATAACAGGAGCCTGCTATCTTCCAGGCAACCTGTGTTTTCACTTAATCTCACGAAACCTCTGTGAGGTAGGTGGCATTATCCCCACTTACAGTTAAAACTGAGGCTCAGAGAGACTGAGTCACTTGCCAGGTTCGCTTAGCCTGTGACAGCCATGGTGTGACCCAGTCAGTCACCCTCTTAGCCTAGTTTGTATGAGCCCAGTTCCGTGTTAGGTCACAGTTTACATGTTTGGATTTGATTCCTTTAGGAGGCAAATAATTTTCATACATTTTTAGTAGCTTGTGTTAAGACAATGACTTTTTCTTAAAGGAACATAGTTTCTTTATCCCTTCTTCCTACTCATTTTTTTCCTCTTTCATTTCTCTCTTCTCTGCTGTGCCTCATAATTTTATTTTTCAACAAACTTGAATTTGAATCTTTATTCTATTTATTAATTCCCCACTTTATTCTTATCACATAGAAATTTTCTAATTTTCCCCTCTCAAAATTGCCATTTTTATCTTCAGTTTTGTATACCCTGGTCTAGAACTTTCCCACCCACACCCCTTATTTTCCCTGTAAGTCTTAAACCCATGGTTCTCTTCATCTTACCCCAAATTTAAAGTTAAACAAAACTGACACCTGGTGGCAAATTCGTTCATCACAAGTTTCAGTGCAGTTCATTTGTTGGATGGAATGAGTTAAGCAGGCAGGTTGGGACAGTGAATTCAAGCCAAAGGTGAGGGAAATGAAACATGACCTAAGTATGCTTGACAAGCTATTATCCAAAGCATAGTCCAGATACTGTCTGCTTTAATTTTCATATCTCTATCAGCAGGATTTTATAGTGCTAATTTATCATCAGCATTTCCTCATGAAAATGATTTTTCTTAAATCACTTATTAAGGGAAATATCAGTATTGACTTTGTTGTACTTACATATTCTGGATATAAGGTTTTTAAATTAATTATTACTTTTATCCATCTTACATTTATTTTAGTCTTACTTTGGTTGGTTTGATTTTTCCCACTTTATATGTTAAATCCATCTTATGATATTTTTCAAGAGGCTCCCATTTTTTTAATAAATATGCAAGAAAATGCTTATTTTCTATTTCATAGTTCACTTGCATTTTTTTGCATTCAATATAATGGGGTATATATAGCCTTTGGTTAAATCTTCCTGCTGAGGAACTTTTTTGGAAAAACAAGAAAATGGGTAACTTGAAAACCAACATCTATTTGTACTTGGTGTAATCTTTAATCTCATTAAACCCTCCCAAGTATTCCAAGAGGCAGGTACTAATACTGTCACCACCTAACAGAAAGGAAAACGAGGCCATTGTGCTAGAAGAGGGGCAGCCGGGAGTGAGCAGGACCCCGAGCCCAGCTTCCTAGCCACTGTGCTCTGCTGCCTCTGGGCTGGAGTTGTGCCACCAACCTTTGTTAAATGATTAAGCCCTCTTCTGTTGTGTTAATTCTCGATTGTTTAGTAAGCTCTTAGACATGTCAGAATTATTTTTGGAATTTCAGTAGTGTTCCATTGCTCAGTTTCTCTTTTGGAGCCAGTTGCTTGTCACCTTAAATGTATCTTAAAATCTGGACTGTATTTTAAAGTCACTACCATCCCATCATGATCCTTCATCAGGTCCTTTGCAAAAGTTATTCTTGACTCATTCATGTCTTCCCTTTTTCTTCTACAATAACTACAGACATTTCTAGTAAATGACAGTGGTACTGAGGCATCTTTTACTCTGATCCCTAAGTTCTATGTTTATTCTCTAGGGAAACAATTTTACACTAAAATTGTGACGTATAAAAAGCCAGTTATTGATTTTAAGTAAGTATTAATCTATTCTCCAAGCTGAGTATTTTTTCATAGTTTTAATCCATGAATATCTTATCTAATGCATCATACAGAGTGAATGGGCAACACAAAGGAAGGAGTAGGCAGTGACCCCTGGAGGCCAGGAAAGACGTCAGAGAGAGGACACGTACCCAAGTTCTAGGAAATAAATTCAAGATTCAGCTCAGGTTGGAAAGTGCCCTTCACAGAATGGTCATTCAGATACAGCTCAGTGGTATTACATGGGTCATAGAGACTTCACCTCTTCCACCACATGACCTCTGCTGGAAAACTTAGAAACTAGTCGTGATTTCAAGATGCCCAGATCCTTCTTACTAGTTGTATGAAAAAACCCTTTTGGGTTTTTTTTTTTTGCATGTAAAGGATTTTTATAGGGTAAATAAAACTGGACACTGTCTCTTCCTAGCGCTACCATCTGTCCACTCATCAACTCTCGCATGACAGCACTGTGTACAAGTTAAATGTTTTACAAGAGATCACTCAGCAGGGTCGAGTGGCTCTAGAATTGACAGAAGCAGAACTGAAGAACGATGCCTAGTTTCATGTTGTTCCTGTGAATGTTCCCTGTCTAGGTTGGTGACCAGATTGTTGAAATCAATGGGGAACCTACACAAGGCATCACACATACTCGAGCGATTGAGCTCATTCAGGCTGGTGGAAATAAAGTTCTTCTTCTTTTGAGGCCAGGAACCGGCTTGATACCTGACCACAGTAAGTAAAGTAGCTCCCCTGTAGCTGTGACGCTGAGAGTGCTGTAGGCAGGGGGCAGCAGAAGAAAAAGGAGTATCTGCATGGAGGGGACAGATATTTTGCTAGTAATTCAAAGGCAAACACCAGAACCATCTAAAGCTAGTTACGTAGCATAGTTGTTATAAATAGTATTATAAAGTAAGTAGCTTCAGGCAGGATTTTTGTTGCAATGGAATGTATGTTAAGCAATTTCAAAGGAAACATGTAGTTACTTTTGTAGAGAAATGTGCCTGTAGAAAGGACATTAAAAGCAAGTGATTTAAATGTCAGGAAAACATCTGAAATCTCTTCCAGTGTTATTTATTTTCTTACAGTGTAAGATAAGTTTCTCTCTTAATGAGTAGCTAGAACTTCAGGCTTTTCTGCTTACCTGTCAAAAACAAGTTGCTATAACCCTGAGGGGGGACAGTTAGACCTGGAACCACAGACCTGGAACCATGTCTGTACTCATACACTGTCCTTCAGCTTCCTTGGTTTCACTGTGTGTTTTTAAAATGCCAGGGTATATTGTTTAACTGAGTGCACTAGTCTAGAAATAAAGTAGCACACCACTTAGTAGGTGCCCTTCCAGCTCCCCCTTCCCTCCATAGGGCTCTAGAGGGACAGGCGAAGGCGTGACCTCCTGCAGCCCCCCTCCAGCCTGTGACTCTCTGACTGTATCATCTTCCAACCTCTGCTTATAAATCATACACCCCAGGGACACCCTTGCTAACTGCACTGTGATTTTTTTACATAGTCCGAGGCTTTTTCTCTTCCTTCTTCAGGTCTGGCTCCTTCCGGTCTGTGCTCCCACGTGAAACCTGAGCAACACTAAGGCTTTCAGGGCTTTTCTGGGTCTTTCCTTAAAAAGACTTGGTAAATTTGCATGTCTTGTAAATCACTTCCTTCTTTTATTTTCTTTTTAATTAAAAATGATGCTATTAAATACATCTACTGCTATCTTCTGCCCTTTTCAGTTTCCTTTTGACATTAAATTTGACAACTTAATGCAAGAAAATTATTTACAAATGCCTGTGAACTTCTCTCTGGTCACCACAGTCTGGTCGGCTTTGTCAGTGATTTTGGTGTATCCACAGCTGTATCCATTGATAAAAGCTCAATTAGTAAGCTTCTTGGATCAGGTAACTTGGTCCAATTTTATTATTTATTATATATTTTTTATTGGGCTTTACTACTTAAAAAGAATTTACATATTATATATTATCTAAATATACATAAGTAATTGGAAAAATGAATGCTGTTATTTTATGTATATATAAACAACTTACCCTTCATATTCACGTGCAGCTGTCTATACACATCTGCCTTTATAGAGATATCTAAACATACACAAACTTTATAAAATATTCATACTAAGGCTGTTTAAGCAGTCAGTATAATTCAAATGGCTGTCAAAGTTCAAAACTTATTACTGCTATTTATAATTCTAAAATGTAATACTGTTCCACTCAAATCACTTTTTTTTTAGGTGATTGGGATATGAATAATCCTTCACCTTCAAATGTAATCTACGATGAACAGTCACCATTTCCCCCATCTTCACATTCTGCTTTCATATTTGAAGAGTCTTATGTGCCAGTAACTGAAGAATCCTTAATGAGAGTTCATATATGTGAAAATGCAGAAGAATTAAAGGACATTGTGCCTGAAAAGAAAAGCACTTTAAATGAGAATCAGTCTGACATAAAGCATCCATCTCTTCACCAGAAAAGTATGAATAAAAGGGATCCACCCCACAGTCTAGGGCATAGTGACAAGAAAAATCTCTTAAAAATAGAAAATGGTGTTACACAAAGAGGGAGATCTGCTAGCCCCAAAAAGTCAGCCAGTCAGTGTTCAGAGGACCATTTAGAAAAGATTACCGGTCCTCTAAACATTGACCCTAAAAGACGACCCAGAGACCGATCACTCAGCCCCAGAAAAGGGGAGAATAAAAGTCATCAGATTGGCACCAGGGCAGGTTCTGGACAAGATCATCACCGGGAAAGCAGAGGAGAGTCTTCAAGCCCAAAGAAGCAGCCAACAACTGAAGGACGCAAAGACCCATCAAGTGCTGAAGCCAAATTATTAGAGTTCGGGAGTCGAAGAGTAGGGGACCGTGATAGTGACAACGCGGAGCTCATCTCAGATGGGAAAGACAAATCGGGTGTTACCAGGAAAGAAACAAAGCAGAGTCAGTCTGGAAAAAACAGGACAAAGTCTCCAGAGAAAAAAAGCAAGAGAATGGATGAAAAGTCTCTTCAATCCAAAAAGGCTACTAATGTTCCTGGCAGAGCAGTAGCCGACGATGCCAACGGAAAGAAAGCAGCCTTAGGAGAAAAAAGCTGTACTAAAGATAAAATAGGAGAAAACGTCAAAATATCAGAAAAGAAGCTGAAGCAGGAACCTGACGAAAGAACGGTTTTAAACAAAACAGAAGATTACAAAGGGAGAGAACCCCAGGCAGCTGACAAAAACAGAGAGAGTAGAGGGGTCAAACCTGAAAGCAGTTCTCCAGTGAGGAAAACACCAATAACTCCAGGGCCCTGGAAGGTGCCAGGTGCAAATAAAGCCACAGGCAATACTGGGGTGGCAAAGAGGCGGCTGTGACCTTTAGCATAAAACAAACAAAAACAAGTTGCAATCTTTTCTTCCTAAAAAGCGGTTTTCAAAAAAAAAAGTCATTTTTCAGAAATTCTGAAACACACATTGTCCATTTTAATTTGAGCATCAAGTTACCTAGGCTGCATGAAGGGCCTTTAGGATTGCTAGGAACCAACTGGCCCCTGGTTGGCCACCCTCAGGCTCAGGAAGGCGCTGCACCCACGCCCACCCAACATGCCCTGCTCGGGCTGCCCAGCTCGTCTTCATGCGTGTCTGAACAAATGACAGATGTTGATACTCAATGTGGTCACAGATCTATATATTTGTGCCAAGTCATCTACTGTATCATGTCTATTTGATCCTTCTCACTCAAATATTCCACAGTAATGAAAAAATTAGGTTTGGCTTGGAAGTTGATATTCTCAATAGCATGTTGCATGTTTACAGAGAGAAATATTTGAGCCCTTGCAGAAGAAGAGATGAACTCATCAGTTAAGATGGCAGTTGTCTCTTCTAATAGCTACTGATGCTGTCCTTTAAAAAGTCCAAAACATAACCAGTGTAAAGAAACAAAATATCAGATATTGACACTTAAGGGTTTTTTAATTTGGCTGGATGAGGTATTCTGAATAACTGTTGAAAGATACTACTTACAATTATATGTTCAAAATGAGAGTAAGCAATTAAGAGTTCACCTTCTGCGCTGTTACCCACCCCTGACAGAGCTGTAGCCCCACCATCTCCCTCTTCAGTTATTTTGTAAGAAACCACAAAGCCAGCATGTGGAAATACTGCTTATTGCTCTTTGTAGAAAAACTACAAATTTCTATTCCTGGATATTTTGGTTGTACCTGTATCTTAGTAGTTAATACATAATAAATACACATTTGAAGAGTCACAATATCACACAGAGTGTGAGGGATTTAATCGTTAAACCAGTTTCAGCCCACTGCCAGCCCCAGAGCCGACCTGTGTGTGCAGCTGTGCAGGCGGGCTGCTGAGGAGACCCTGTGCTAAGACCCGCTCAGCCAGTAAGGATGGGCACGGCTGTGGGCAGCACAGGCGGGACCTTATTTCTGGCAACATTGACTTACTTGAAAACAAGAAAGGGAGACAAAACATCTGCTTAACTTGTATAAGTTTTCAGAGTGAAAGCCTGATTAAAGATGTTTGTTGGAAGGTGGAGACGACAGCTTTTTAACTCCATATAATAAATCCAGGTTTTCAGTCCCTTGAAGTAACATTCAGTAGCGCCTATAAATAAAGGAACATTCTAATAAAACCATTTTATGGAGTATTTGAACACACTTGTTCTGTCACCCAGGGTTCATCTTGTTATTGTGAAACACATTATGTCCAGGTTCTTCCCTCCCAGTCTGACTGTGAAACTCTTTCATGTAACAACTGAATCAGCCCCTGTAGATAAGACATGTTTCCCAGAGTGAGATTTTTGAAGCCCCTTTTCATTCAGAACTCAATCTACCCACCTACTGTAACTACTTGAATAGAGCAAAATTAGGAGGCTTGATAAACAGAGAATTTAGTACCACAGAAATGATTTATTTTCCCTATAGTCCACAATTAGTGATAAAAATCCTATTTTTGTTAACTGTGACATGTCTTTGATGTCATTTGTCAGTCTGATGTGGCTCTTTCCTAAGTAACCTGTCACTGTACTAATTATATACTGACTTAGCAATGTGGCCTTGGAATGCTAAGCAAAATATGGATGTACTGGTTGTAAATGTTTATATATTGTACAGATCCTTTATATATACACCTCAAGTTCTGATTAGAGAAAGATCTGTAAATTGCTTGTTATTTTTTATATAGATAATAAAAAAACAAAAAATAGTTCATGGCCTATATTTCTTTTACTGTCAGTTTTATTTAATGTTGCTTTCTGTTTATTTGTGGAGCTAGTTGCAGTCATGGTCTGAGTCCTCAAATAGATTTGCTCCCTACAAGTAACAAACATTCAAAAAGTCCTACATTCAGGAAGACTAATAATAATGAGCTAGCTATGCCTTTTTCTGTATTTAAAGCTCAAAATCGGTGAGTTCACTATCATTATACCTGTTTTATACCATTCATTGTAAAGAATATAGCTTTGCATATAATTTATTACCCCCAAAAATCATTTCTTATTTTATTAAGGACAGAAAAGGACTTAATCTTACTGGAAATTCAGTTTCTAGACATTTGTAATGGATGTAGCGGTCTAAGTCCAGTACCACAAGGTCACAAAACTATCTCATCAGACTATGGCACTTCACATTATTTTTGAACCATTTTATTTACTTTTGGTTATACTTACCTTTAGAATGAAGTATTTTGACTTTATTTAATTTAATTCTTGGTATGAATAATGCCTAAAACCTATTTTAAGACCATGGTTAATTTAACACTCGTGAGTGGAAAAATACATTCCTACCTACCATTGACCTCACACTTGAAACTCCAAGCCTCCCCTAATTCCCGAGCCTCAGATCAGAGATGTGTGTCATCGCAAAGGCTTCAGAGAGTGGCAGCTAGAATAGTTCTGTTGTTATTTCAGTGGACATGTTTTCTTACTGGTCACAACAAAAAAGTTCTACGATGCTATTATACTGTCTTACTAGAGATATTAGAAACTAAGATTCTGTAATATTGTCCTCTTCCAACCTAGTTACAGCAAATTTTACAGAACAAACAGCTTATGAACAGAGCCAACTCCTATTTTAGAAGTCTTGGACACACAAAGTATTTGGCTTTTTATTTCTATGTGCTAATATCTTACTTTTTTAATAGTAAAATATTCTCATGTAGAAAAATCCAAACGCTTCTAAATATGGGGACAAATGAAGAATTTTATGTTTAATATGCCGAACATTCAAAGAGAATTGGGTTTTAAGAAAGCAAGCAATATTCAAATTGTTTAACTGTGTGACAGTCTAAAGACCTCCACAAAGATGTGTTTAAGCTAAAGCTTAATCTATAATGTGCTCCTGGAACAGTAACAGGTTTATTTATTTAGGCAGCTGTTAATGGTCATGCTATTAAGGTTTATCAGCAATACAATGACTTACTTAAAGCACATCATAATTATTACATGAACTCTATAATCTTTGCATTAGTTAACAATTCGTTTGAGATATCCACTAACTTGGGTCCACTTTCAGTGTCCCTATGCAAGCAGAGCCTTAAGTATAAGAGAATATGAAATTTATGGAGTGTAATTCTATTGGAGAACTCTGAATCTCTCACATATGCATTAAAATACAAAATAATAGCCAAGTGCTTTAATTTAGCCTATACCTATATTTTGACAAAAAATATGGGTATTTGTCCATTTTACAATGTTTGTATTAAAGTCAAGTAGAACTACTAGCAAATACACAAGAGGCTTATTTTGCCCTTAATAAACAACCATTTGTTACCTTGAGTAACACCTTATTACAGCTTATAGGCTCAGGATGTGCTGCAGGTAAGGTGTGGAATTATTGCACATTTGTGAAATTCAAACTTAATTATTCAAGATGGGCACCAATATGTGTTGAGATGAAATTAAGTTTAATGAATTTACGTCTTGACAATCACAAACAAACTGCATTTGGCAGTAAGTCCCATTTGGCCTATTATGAATGTATAGATCTAAAAAATTTCAAAAATGAACTGGCTTGAAAGAGGATTGTATCTACAGTGCACAGGCCCACTTTCCTCTAAATACAAGAACCAAAAATAAAAACATAGACCCATAATCTTATACTTTGTGAGATATCCTGGTATGTAGAATTTTTCTTCATGTCTCTGAAAGTCAAGAAAACCACACCCCAGTTAGGCAAGCATTTATCAAAGTGCTTAGTTTATATTACACATGAGCCATCATGTACATATTTAGGCAGTTAGAGGTTATACCTCTATAGCAACTTAAGGGGGGATAATTTTCTCAATTCAACAAATTCTAAAATTAAGTGAACAGGTTTTTTTTTTTAACGTTCCTGTGGCTATTACTTTTCCAAGTGAATGTATGAATGGCCTCATCTAGTTCTTGGTTTTTACATCTTGGTTTAATTTCTCTGGAACAGGTAAATATTATCAAAGTATATTATACCTACCTTTTTGGAATCAAAACAAAAGCCCAAGTTCCTAGAAAGTATTATACAGCAATAAATTAAGCACTGAGGTTAAGAGAACCATGAAGTCACAAATTTTTTTCTGCTAGGGTAGAAGACTTGTGTGAATGGTAAATTATTTGACATCTATCCTTCATTCATTCTGGTACATTTATGGTGTACATTTACGGTGAGTACCTACTATGGGATCAGGTACTGTTCTGCATTCTGGGGACTTAGTAAACAAAGTCCCTGCCTTAAAGGGCTTACTTAAGGTGGGGAAGGACAGACACAAGCAGGCAAAAAGTAAAAATAAATGATGCAGACCGTGACAAGGAAATGACAGGGTCATTAGACAATAACAAGGATAAGACGGGAATTACTTTAGGGCTATCAGAGAAGGCCCTACTAAGGAACAGACAGGGAAGAAGCCATTCAGGGGTGAACCTAAGAAAATATATTCCGAACACTAGACTGACAGGAGAAAGAATTTGATGTAATGGAGGAACAAAGCAGGTGCAGTGTGGCTGTAAGGTACTGAGGAGGAGTTGGAAAGGGAGGCAGGACTGATAATGAAAGGCCCTGGAGGCCTCCATAGGGAAGCCAGGAAAGGTTTAAGTAGGAATGATTTTAAGAATAGTTTCCATATTTTTAAGCTCATTCATGTGGCTTTGGAGAACGAGGCAAGAATGGTAAGTGCACACTAGGTCTGCATAGTAATCCAGGTGGAAGGGGAGGAGACAACCTAGCAACAGAGGAAGTGTGCAAGTGACAAGATTTTGTGGTGAGCTGGATACGGAGGAAAAGAGAGAACCAAGAATAAAGCCTAAATAATAAGCCTTTGGCTTGAGCAACTGGGTAAACTTTGTTCCATTTACTAAGGTGGTAAAAACATTTAATCTCCCACCATAGAACAACTAAAAAAGTAAAAATAGATATGAGAAAATGGGTTTTAGATGTTGGAAAACAGGCAGTACAGGAGAGTGGAATGAAGTGAGGTAGCCTCACCACTGTCACTGAATACAGCCTACAGGCAGTTTCTAGAGCAGGAAGGGGAAGCAGACTGACCAAGCGGTCTCTGAGTTGCGGAGACAAGAATCTGGAAGGCCGAGGCAGCGAGAATATGCAGGTTGCACAATACCAGAGACAAGACAGTTCCAAAAATGTGTAGAGGGTTGGCCTTCAGATGAGCACTGATCAGCAGAAGGAAATGCCCAACAATAGAGGAAGAACCACCAAAAAGAAGTAGGAAAAAAAATTCTTGAGCTGGGAATGGTTCCAGGCTCCCACAGTCAACCCGGAAAAGCCTCGTGATGAGCAGGGCATCTGGTAAGTACTCAGGAGGACGCTGCTCCCATAGTGAGGAAAAGTGGCCCTAGACTACAGGCTGCGCTGGCTTTTTAAAAGCAAGTCTTGGAATGATCAAACTCTTTACAAGTAACTTACCTGCCTCCTAAAACAAAGCTCAGGAATATTTAATAAAAAAGAATATACATGTACACACACAATCCCAACATCCAACGATGTTCAGTCAATTCACACCCAATATAAACTTGCTGGGAATGCAAGGATGCGGGAAAATATGACCCAAAATGAGAAAAAGCAGTAAAAACAAACCCAAAAATGTCACAAATGTTAGCTGTTTTATTGTCCTTACTGTTTCTATTATAAATAAAATGTTAAACAAGGCAGAGAAACGAAATAGCATGTTAAGGAGAGACACGGGAGATTTAAAAAAAAAGCAAAATCAAACTTCCACAGATGAAAATACATTGGATATGATTAACAGCAAATTAGTGCTAAAAAACAGGTTAGTGGACTTGAAGGCACAGCAATAGAAACTATACCCAAAATTAAAGACTAAGACTGGGAAAATGAGTAATACATTAATAACCTGTGGGACAACTTCAATCAGCCTAATATACAGGTTAAACTGGAGTCCCAGAAGGAAGTGAGTTAAGAATGGGATGTACAGAACTTATTTTAAGAAATAACAGCCAAAATTTTTCCAGATTTGATGAAACCTACAAATTTAGAGGTTCAATAAGTGCAACAAGCCTCCAAGCACAAAAAAGACGAAGAAAACTACACTGATGCACGTTGTAAAGAGATTGCACAAATTCAATTATAGAAGCCTTAAGAAGCAGAATGAGTTAAGAAAAAAAAAAAGACATTACACTAAAAAGAACAAAAATAACAGATTTCATGTCAGAAACTGCAGTTCAGGACGAAGCAGAGCAATATCTCTAAAACCAGAATTTTAGGATTCCAGGAAGAGGTGATAGGTCACTGTGATAACTTTCCCCAATGTACACACCAAGGCAGCAACTACATGTAATACAACTCACTCTGGAGACGACCTAATGACATCCATGCAATGACAAGGAGAAGGCCACAATAAAAAGTGTGAAATGGGTAGAGAGAGCCCACGCTTCCTCTACCCCAGCTCACAAAGGGGAGAGTGTGGCACAGAGGGGTTGGAGATAAAGCTCTGCCCCAGCACACCTGGCCCTGGGGATCTATACTGGAAAGATGAGCTCCCATAATATCTGGCTTTGAAAATCAGTGGGGCTTGAGACCAGGAGAGCTGGAAAGCTCTAGAAAGCCAAGTCTCTACTCTTTTAAGAGGGCCAGCATAATTTGTCAGTCAATCTGAGACCTAACACAGAAGCAGCAGTTTGAAAAATGCTTGGATTATACATGAAAATTTATTAACTCTGGAACATGACAGATCTGCAGGTACTTTCTCCAGGGAAAGAA